TTAAATCGAAGACTGCAAGTAGTAAAAATTGGAGATAAAATCAGTCAGGCTCTTGAAGTGATTTATGGTGTTGTCCAAGGAAGTATTCTAGGAAGCCTTCTATTCAACATTTTCTTCAATGAAGTGACAAAACTCGTGGGACTCAAAGGAAAAATCATTCTCTATGCTGACGACCTGGCATTGATAAATGAACACACACCAAAAGAAGACGTCACCAATGTAATTAAAAGTGATATGAAGCTTATTCTCAAATTTTTACAGCATCAAAGAATGATAATTAACATTAAAAAGACTAACTTCATGATTTTCCATTCACCTTTTATCAAATGTGACCAGCCAAATTTAATAAAAATTGATGAAGACTACACGATTGCAAGAATAATGTCAATGAAATATCTTGGTCTTTACCTAGATCCTCATTTAAAATGGGACATTCATGGAACCCAAGTTGAGAAAAAACTGGCAGCAGCGGCAGGTGTAATATGGAAGCTAAAGAACGTTCTTCCATTATCTGCAAAAAAGAAAATCTACCATTCACTTTTTGCAGCCCACATTAATTACATGGTGACAATATGGGGTAATGCTAGTGACACAGTCATAAAACCAATCCAGACAATTCAGAATAGAATGATAAGGAATATATACAAATTTGATAGACTGCATAACAGAGTCGACATGTTCAAGAAAGTTAATCACGAAAATATTCTACCAGTACGAGCGATGAATTTCCTCAATACAGCGAGCTTCATCTATTCATGCAGGAACAAATCTATCCACAGCAACATTAATTTTGAAAGGAACCAAGGAAAGCGTAATCAAATGGATCTTAGATCGACAACTGCAAAAAATAATTTTGGTAGAAAGGATATTCACCACTTTGGAGTCAACATTTACAACTACTTACCAATAGCAATCAGAAAAGCTGTCCACATCCATTCATTCAAGAATCAAGTTAGGCGATTCGTGGCAAGTGAGGAATTCCTGTCCAGCTGCTTTAGCAATGACTATTTGAAGACATTTGGATGAATTCATACCTGGAATTAAAAATAGTTCGCAAAATTAGCTCTTACAATTGGATGTTCCTTACCTGTTCTTATGTTGTCGTTAGAAGTCCAATAAGTTAATTCATATCAGCAGTTATGCCAAATTTATTTATTTAACTTTAAACTGATGATCTCAATATTTTCGTTAAAGTTTCGTTAAAGTTTTGTTTACAATTTTGAATATTTTAGCAACGTTACATAACATTAGAAAACTATAGCAGAGACACAATCACTTCTCTAGTACACCAAATTTCAAATATGATAAAACCGTTAAAGCTTTAAATAATGTATCCGTTAGTATTAAGTTCTTTATCGATATTCTTTTATATCATTGAACTTATATTTATTCTTTTAAATGTTAAGTAATGAGTAATGAAGGTTTTTATGCCGCTTGAAATAGTTTAAATACTTTTCAGGTGGCTTTTCCTTCTTGAAAATAATAATTGAATAAAAATAATAATAATAATAATAATAATGCTGAGCGTAGCTCAGCTGACACTCTAGCTTTATATCTTTAAACTTATGCTGAGCGAAGCTCCACTGCCTCTCTAGCTTCATATCTTCAAACTTATGCTGAGCGTAGCTCAGCTGACACTCTAGCTTTATATCTTCAAACTTATGCTGAGCGTAGCTCAGCTTACGCGATAGCTTTATAACTTCAAACTTATGCTGAGCGAAGCTCAGCTGCCTCTCTAGCTTCATATCTTCAAACTTATGCTGAGCGAAGCTTAGTTGACTTATCAAGCTTCATACCTTCATACTTATGATGGGCAAATCTTGGTCTATTCATAAGACTTATGATAGTACGGTGTGAATATAATCCGCATTGGGTTTCTACCCGATACACTAGTTGGACATTAAAGAAAGTAAATGAGAACTTTTAAATTTCACAATGTCTATTTGTCATGTTAAATGTTTGAGCTGGATTAGTCAGTGTCAAATTTTACACTAAAACGTAGTTCAAGGCTTAGTTGTTAACGAATATATTATTGCAAAGCTGAAAGAGCGTATCCTGGATTTTCAAATGTTGTGAGTACCTAAGAACCTCTTTGCTTGCTCCGTCCCTTCATTAATGGATTGAGTATGCTGTAGATGACCCTAAATCTGACTAATTATCAAGAAAGTTTATTATCATTGTATCTCTTGGTATTATTGAGAAGAGAGTAAGTAAGATATCGTTGGCCTTCCATGCCAAAGGTCCTGGGTTCAATCCCAGGCCATGTCTAATTTTCTAAGCTTTTGTTCCATTTCACCGTTCTAGTTACGAAGCTCGGTTCGTGTGTTGGGTGTAGTTTTAAGGTCTTTGGCAAAGAATCTCCCTCCTTTGCTAGGTATACAAGGATATACTAGCATCTGGATGATTTAATTACAGTTTCTTGCGCACACAATATCAGGTCACAATATCAGAGCTTGGAAGTGGTTCGGATCCCACTATAATAGATTCTTTTAAAATTGAATCGCAGTGCCTCCAGCTGAAAGGCTGGGCCCTTCACACGTTATTATTAACTAAGACATCATCTTTGAATTATAATCCATGTCAAAAATCTCAAGGCCATAGAACTCCCAAAATAGTATAGCCGTTAGTGAGCATTGTGCAGTAACGTATACAAACTATTGAGTAAAATTAAGTTAATATGAGCAAAGTGTAGTTAAATATTGTAAAGTGAAACAAAGTAAACCAAAGTATAGTAGAATGTAGCAAAAGAGTAGCAAGTGTAGTTTAGGTATAGTAAAATGTTGTAAAAGTATATTCAGTATAGTAAGAGTATAGCAAGTGTAGTAAAAGTATAGAAAGTGCAGCATCCTAAAACTGTTTAAAACTTTAAAAACCAAAATGTTTAAAGTTGATGTGCAATAGTTTTGAAATAATGCATATTTTACCATACCATTTATTTATAAATAGTCAATATCATCGCAACTTAAGAACCGCTTATTATTTGAAATTCATGCATTAAAATTCTTTTAAGTCTTGAGAAAATATTAACAAAGATAAAATGAATCTTTTCTCATATAAATAAAATAAAACTGTTAAACTAAATTCAAATATTTCAACATTAAGGATGTCTTCCAAATTTCGAAGAACAGTAACGAAAGAAAAGAGCACTCATAGAAATAATTGTATGGTTTTGAGGAAATCAAATATTCAAATATTTGATTTTTCCGATTTGTATGAAATTTCAAATGTTCGATATTTGGTTTTTTTCCAAAACCATACAAATTCTAATATTTTTTCTATGAGTATGAGAATCAATGTTTTTGATATTGTTGGTTTTAGAGAAAATGAAATGTTATCAACATTTTTGATATTTATTTTTTAAAAGTTTGTTGGAACGTTAATCTTGTTGAAATAAAAAACTAGCATATTATAAAATAAATTTAAAATATTTCGTTTCCCTTCATTCAATTTTAAAATGCCAATAAATTGAAATAATAATAATAATCCTTTATTTAATTAATGATATACGTCGGAATAAGCTGAATTTATCTTGATGTTAACCTCGTCGGTTTTAAATCAAATGTAAAAATGAAATGTGATTATTGATATGACATGAGTTAAGTTTGAACTATTGAGATGCGGTCAAAAAAAGAATTAGCAAAAAGACCAAAAAAATATAATATTAAAAAACTTAATTAAATACATAATAAATTGAAACTAATTTATATCAAGCTTGTTTTTATAGCTTTTTTAAAAATTTAAACTTAATACAAATTGTCCTTATTAGTTTTTTTTTAATGTAAGGTTGCATGAAAAAATCAAATTCGAGTCAATTCGAGAAGAAATTCTTAAAGCTAAAGCAAAATTTTTCATAATTTTTTAATAATTATTAAAAAATATTTCTTCTGAATTTTAAAATAAAGTTTAAAAAAGTCAATTAAAAATACTCATCTTTAAAATCAAAAGTACGACATTTTAGGTTTTTTTTAAATTTTTCAATTTTTCTTTACTATACTTTTAATTTTGACAAATTTCCTTACAAACTTAAGGTATTAATTTGAAATTTCTTTGGCATGAATGAAATTATTTCTGCCTTAGCAGCATTATTGCTGTTTCTTTTCCATCAGCTAAATTTGGTTTAAAATGATAGAATAAAAAAACAAATAAAGAAAAAATATTTTAAATTCTATAACCTTTAATTAAGTTTTTAAACAGTTTCTTTTAAATTTTTTTTTGAAAGTATGAGTATAACGTATTAATGGACCACATGTTGAAGAGACCTTTAACTATTTAGATTGAAATCATGCACTAATTAATTTGATTAAAAATAAAGTATAGAAAAGTAGGAGTAAAGTGCACTAAAGTGTAGTAAAGTGTGAAAAATTTAAGCTTAGTGTGGTAAAGTATATTAAAGTATAGTAAAGTAAAGTAAAGTGTAGTAAAGTATAGGTTAGTTTACTTAAATATAGTAAAAAGAAGTAAAGAGGAGTTAAGTGCAGTAAAGTTTAGTAATTGCAGTGATTGTGATACATTGTATAGTAAGTGTACTGAAACATAAGTAAAAATTTGTAAAGTTGAGTAAAAAAGTAGTGATTGCAGACAAAGTGCAGGGAGTTCTATGGCCTTGGAAAATCTCATGCGAATCATATTCGCAACAAACCCATTAATATACAACTTTTCTTACCTTAACATGACAATTTTATGCCCAAAATCACCCTAAAGCATGTCATTAAAGTTCCTTACATACTTTTAACATGAATTCAAATTTTTTTTTATCAATGCCGAACGTGAACCCACCAAACACCCATTCTATTGCTGCAAAAGCATCATCATTACAGTTGACAATCAATTTACTACCATTTAATACCCCCGGTTGCTTTTTTGAAGAGCTAAATGCGCTAAAACTACCCATTTTAATTCAATTCCTCTTTTAACTTGGACTCAATGCCCACGCACGAATAAAATTTAAATTTACATGCAAATTGTTTGCAAAAATGTTTTCTCATTTAGTCATCTTTGAGTGAAATTTGAAATAAAGATCAAAAATTTTTCGTACATCACAGAATTTTATGTTTTAAAAGCTTCATTCTTGACCCAAAATTTTATTCGTTATACATTATGCCTCCACAGAAATGTAGGTATCATAAAAATATTCAACACAAATTGTTTTGACGACAAAAAAATTCACATTTTTTGTTCCACAGCTCCAGGACCAGCAAATTTTACATTAAAACCTCTTGTTGGATTTAATAATCATGACTTTAACAGTTTAAAGAAACGAGCACCTCAATGGTCGTTCGGAAAACGTCTTAAAGGCCTTTCTGCTGATAAAACACCAGGTGCTGATAACTACGATACCAGAAAAGTTACGCGTTATGGGATCTTTCCGAATGTACCAGGAAAAATTTCAATAAAGCACAAGGAGCTTAGTATGTACTTAATGAAATGTTTGTGAATTATTGCTTGTAATTTACGAATTTTTTCAGAATCCGATTTCGGACCAGGACCAAACAAATACAATGCTGTCGATGTCACAGTCTTTAAAGGAAAAAGTGCCGCAAAGTTCACGATGGGACTTAAAACAAAACAATTAAATGACAATTGCAGTCCTGGACCAGTAGCACAAATCACACCTCTTTCTGTCTACAAGAAAAGAGCTCCAACATATCCAATGTTTGCACGTAACAAGGAACTTTCAGATGGAAAATCTCCTGGTCCAAATAATTACAGCACTGTCGACAGTAAATTAATGACAATGAAGACTAATCCAGCATATTCATTTAGATCAAGAACTGCTGTCATCGATAAAGATAGGAAGCCAGGACCAGCAGATTATAACTTAATAAAGCACAATCCCTTTTCAAGTCCACCATGCTTTACAATCCGACGGCATCACTCTGAATATGCAAATTTTCTCATTTTACCAAACGATAATTGTTAAATAAAATCTCATCTCTTTTTTTTGGGATACAACCGACCGCGTGATGATTAAAATTTATTAGATTTTGCGAGATTATGAAATTTTTGAAACATTTCTTGTTTGTAAAGGATACAGCTTAGGTACAGTGCTCACAGTGGCGAAGTAAGGGAAATATAGTCTTGGCAAATCAATGGCAACTTACAGAGATGGTTTGGATTCAAAAGCTGATCGCAACAGTTATTTAGAACCAAATGAAAACCGTTAAGCAAAATCATATGTGATGGCAATTTGGTTCTTAGCAGAGCTCTAAGTCGATAGTTTTCGAGTCGATTCAGGTTTTTTTAAAAAAAAAATAAAAAAGGAACAGCGATGCATGCTGAAAAATTAAGGACTATCATTTGGGGCCGTTCACTTATTACGTTATGCAAAAAAACGACTTTTTACACCCCACCCCCTCCCCCCTTGTTACAATATGTTACAACTCACAAGCCCCCCCCCCCCTCCTGAACGTTCATAATTTATTTTATTTTGATAATTTTTTATAGGTTATCAAGAAAAAATGTTTTTGATGTGAATTTGTAAACAAATTTTTTTCGTGAACTTTTTTTTAAAAGACAGACGACAGTAAGAACGTTACATACTTCTTGCCCCCCCCCCCCCCTATGTTACATTTTGTTACAATTTTCCAGTCCCCCCACCCCCCCCCCCCCCCCCCTCTCCCCTAAAATGCGAATGTAATAAGTGAACGGCCCCTTAGGTTGTCATTATTTTTTTTGCCAATTTTCGGTCAATAAGCAGGACATGTCCTGTTCAAAGCTCTGAAAAAGCAGGATAGCCTAGCTATTGCTTTCTGTCTTCAAATTTATATCCATTCAATTCTCCCTCTTTGCACACTATCGTCCACAAAGTCTCAAATGATGAATCAATTTGACACTGTCTCTTACTACATCTCTGTCTGCTCACATCAGTTATCATCTTCGCATGTGGATCATGTTATTAAAAAAATATATCGCGTGGATATAAAGCGTGAAATTTACTTTCTTTATATCATGTTGAAAAAGTCAGTTAACTCGTAGAGCAAACAAACATCCTGACATTATACTTTTTTTATGATCATCATTATAATCATGAGAATAAAAGAATAAGAAGAAGCGTAAAAAAATTCTGAATGACTTTTTCATTTTTCTGATGTATTTATTTTGCAGTTCATCGCTCATGTTAACAGACACCTTTCAAATGTTTTCATTAAAAATAAAATTTATTCAAACTCATTCATGCCTTGTTTTGTGCTGGATGTTTTATTGCAGAATCAAAAGAATGAAAATGGTTTCCTGTTGTGTATTCCGATTAATTTGGCTTTCATGAATGCGAGTGAAAAATCCAATTAAAATTTATGGAACATCGCATTTTTAAAATTGATATGTTGATGAAATGGGATTTAATTACTATAGGAACGAGATGATTTATTAATTTACTTTTATGCTCTTATTTTTTTTTTAATCTGATTATGAAAAATTGTCTATAATTAATGCGATGACGAGTGAAAAAGTCACCAACATGTTGGTGAATTCAAGGAATGGAAACTTACAGTTGCATTGATTTATTGTTTTGAACAAGTTCTTTTTAAAATGCGATATTGTTCCGAACCTAATTTCATGCATAATAGTTAAATCAAGGGTGCGGAACTGAAGAAAACCATTTAATCATATGGATAATTTTGATAATTTTACAGTTCTGAACCCTTGAGTCAAATATTAGAATCTACACAAAATTTTAAATGTGATGAATTTTAAGCTTCTATTGTGATTTTAGCCTTATATATTTAAGAATGAAGAATTTTGTAATCTTAATCACAAAAACCATTTGATAAGTTTTAATAAGATCCAGCAAAGACCTATTTTCCTGAATGAGATCACTGTTGTTGTCAAATATCTCAGATATTCAACACTAAAGCAACACCCTTACTTGCCTGTTTCTACAAAAAAATTAACATCTTCCACAACTCCTTCCTTCGTTACTTCTCAGTCATTTGAATTACTTACTGTAACCATGTTCCTATAAGGAGCTTGGGTTGCAACAAAATGCTTTCCATCTGACTCTGTTGCTGGCTCTGTCACCTAGCTTGTACAACTTCTCTGTAAGCTTATTAAGCTGACATTCTTTCATCACAGTTCTTTTCCAAGTAGCTTTTGTAGCTCCTGGGCGTCTAATCTAATGCTGATTCCAGCCATGGGAGGTGAAACAAACTTGTGATTCTGTCCTAGCAGTGACATTCAGTCATTATTTGATATTAAGTGGACTCAAGTTGGGAAATTCACCAAATGCTGTCAGCTGCTAAAGCAGAAATTGAATTATGATTTACAAATTTCGACAGTCCGAAAAAAACCTATTCCTGTCGAAAAAAAAGTTGACATCTCCTGAAAATATATAATTATGGCATGGCCTTTATTTAATAGACACAAAAGGTGAATTCGCAGATTTTCATAAATATTTTTTTAAAAATAAACAAACTCATTAATATGTTATAATTTTAATTAAGTTGTTTATTTGGCACGTTTTTAACATTAAAATTAAAAAAAAATTATTGAAGGAAATTGATTGTAAAAGGCTCTTAATTTAAGTAGGTGAATGGTCACCTGAATAAAAATTATTTTAATGTAATTAAAGACAAAAATATGATTGGATATCAATAAGAGTTCATCGAATGTATTAAATTTATGATAAATATTGGAGTGGCTATAAAAAGAGGACAGTAATGAACTTTACGACTTTAAAGCTTTTTTTTTTCATTTTAACTGCACTTTAATGCATTTATTGACTGGTAATAATTCACATTTTACACTTTTGTATTTGTATACATATAAACTAGTATTATGTAGGATCAAACTGGATCAAACTTCTAATATTCATATCTAGGTTTCAAATAAACTAAGGCTCTCGTTTCGATCTTTTGTGGGCGTGACGTGATACATTTCAGGTCCGTTTTAACAATATTCCATTCGTGGGTAATCTTGTAGCTCTCGTTCCTATTTCTCCCACTACTCTTCAAGTTCCTGACTCGTTCCTTAATCCAATGTTGCCTAAATGCCCAATTATGGCTTGATCTCGTACATTAGCAGTCTAAGTATCTAAACTTCCGAAAAAGAACAAATTGCTTACTTACATTTTAATTGTTAATGGCAGTGGTAGCTTTGTGTTTGCCACGGGATCTTTAGTGAAGCTGTAGTGAACTCTACGATGTAAATTGTCAATTTAAAGAATAGCTCGAAGTTGATGAAATTTTGTATCCAGTTGAGTCTACTCAGAGTCGACTTCGCAATACAAAATCCATGAAAATCTCTGGTCTACTTCGAGCTCTGATTTAAAGTTTAAAACTCCTTAACAATCATAAACGATTAATCGAAAAATTTCTTATCATCAGCTAAGTTCATGAACTTAAAATTTCACAGAAAGAGTTCTTTGTCCTAGGTCAAAAAAAAATATTGATTATCTTTACTGGCTATAAGCAATCATATCATCAATACAGCACAGATAACAGCATATCGCGAATGTTTTTGTCACCCGGGATCGATTTATTTCATCACTTTATCTATCGCCAATAAATAACAACTAATGACAGTTTATATTTATTTTTATATTTTTGCAGCTCAGCTGTGCTTTTATGTGACTCGTTACAATCTGGATAAAATAACATAAAATTCTCTCAAAATTCAAGCTCATAAATATTACAGATAAATCTGTAGAAGATATTACTGTTATCGAAACAATTCAAGCTGAATTTAACATCAGGGTTCTCATCGTTTACGGCAAAAAATTTCATGAATCAAATTCTAGGGAAATATGGCAGTAGAATATGAAGCTGTAAGATAATTCCATTTTCTCCAAGTCAATTTCTTTCGTAAAGTGAAAAAAAAGTTTCAAATTTGCTTAGGCTTTCAATTTTCTTTGTGATTTCACTTCAGTTCTTTCCTAGAATGAGGATAATCTTGTACATGCTGAATAGAGAATTAAAGCCGATGAAACAATGACTTTTCGTGCCATCTTTATTTTATAGAATTTAAGTTGAACGGCAAAAATCGATGATTCAATCAATTTGTCAATGTAAGTTCTTTGCTCTTAATCAGAGGTTCTCAAACTTTGTTTTACATTAGCACACCACATTAGTGTGCTATCTGAGCTTAAAATGATCAACTCTCTAATTGGCTATTCCCTTGTTGCTTAATGTCTCGCGAAAATGTTTGAGAATCACTGCTCAAAAATACAATCCACTTTTCAGTTCTCTTTTCCTTCTTATTCCATTATGACACATAATGTTGTGCTTCAAAAGTTAAACCTCCACTCATAAGTATATCCTTCTTCTTATCCCATTTATGATGATATTCTTTTCGACACATCTTTATTGCTTTTATGGCATGAAAAGCGATTGAATATATTTTTTGACTTCCTCCGCTTCTACTTGCTGTACACAATTCTCCTGCAATATATGTTCTTATGTGCTCTTATTGGCTAAACGAATGCTTAAGACTAGGAGCTTTTATGAAGCATTTTACAGAAAAAACAACATGTATTATAAATAGTCTGCACTTATGTACGTTGTACATTGATGCTGTACAAGTCTGAGGATTTTTCTCGAGAAGAAATGTTTGTGCTATTAAAGTGTGAACGAGAAAGCTTTGTGTTTATAATGTATTAAGGTATATCTAGGAAAGGTAGGTTTGAAATCAGGCTTGTTTGAGTAAAACTGGAAGACTCTGTAGATGACCAAATTGATCAATTGGAATTCAAAATCTATCATTACTAGTTCGTTAAAAGCGAGCAGCTACCAAAAGTCAACTCAAAATTTAAAGAGTCTACAAATTTCCAATAGATTCGAACAAAGAGTTTTTTGACATATTGATCTCCCTATAACTACTATATGTGTATACTAATGTAAAACAAGTCGGGTTCGATAGGAATCGAACCTACGAGCTCAAAAGAGGCGATCTCTGACCACTCGATCAGAGTTCCCTGCCACTCGGTCACCGAAGTACTTATCTCATTTTGACTATCCGTCATACACATAT